TATCATCATTATTACCACAACCGCCAGCCCTCCCCCAAAACAAGAAAGAAAAAAAATTGTTCTCCAGAAAACACACTCACACACACACACACACACACACACACACACACTCACTCACTCGTCGTCGTTCTATCTACTCATCTGCTCAGTCAGTACTCACCACCTCTTCGTCTTCACAGTTCCCAACGGTTACCGAGAGGGTAACACCGTAACCATTATCCCCCGATCCCCCCTCCCTCACCCACCCACCCCCCAACCAGGGCAGTGCTAAGTTGTCTTTAGGTCATTCCCAAAGGTGGGGATACAAACATGGTCTTATGCACAGCAGAATTGTAAATGGGCTGATTTATCAATGTCATGCTCATACTGTGCCGGAATAACGTACGGGGAACTACTGCTTTTTCTTTCCTTATCCTTACTATCGTCATGTTTTCTCTTTTTCTTTTGTATTTTGTCACTCTCTTGTGAACTGCTATTTCTGGGATTCCTTGATAGTCGAAGCAGACTTTGTGCTTTTGAACAGAGTAAGCCTGATTCTCCGTTTGGACTTCTGTTGACATCCACCCCTTGGTGCTCATTTGACCTTTTTTCAGTTGCGAGCACCGTAAAACCTTATTAAAACTAAACAACTTTCTCCTGTATTCGGAATCACTTAATTAATCCGGTCCGCGACTTCGACACGCTTGCCCATGCCTGATTCCGGTTTAAGAGATACACCGCAAGTCAATAATTTTAAGAATACAATTTTGTGTTGATGTTTTCCTTATTATCTTCAAGGAAGTTAATGGGTTTTTTTGTTGGTTTTTTTGTTGTTTTTTTTTGTTGGTTTTTTTTTTGGGTAACGACTTTTTTGGCTCTCCTGTAAAAATGTAAGTTCTGCATAATTTACTGTATTTTTTCAAAACGACGGCAGTATACGTTCTTATTCTAAACTGTCCTCGACGCCATTTCTAGATGACTGTATTAAGTTCGCACAGGTGAATTCTAGAAGTCTGTACACAAGTAGCGTATTGTCACGCTGGTGAATGACTGTTGTTCGGGGGGAGGGGAGGGGGCTGCGGCTATTTTTCTAGACCTTGGTTATTATTTAGAGGACTTTATTTCTCTCTAGATCTACATTGTAGGATTGTGCTACCGCTGAAAAAAGCTCAATCTGTTCAGTACCAAGTTTGGAGAAATTTGACCTAAGAAATGTTGAGTTTCAAAACATTTCAAGCTTTCTTTTAAAAGCAGTTGTTTGAATACCTGGATAATGACTCCAAATAATCTTACATTGTGAAAGAGCAGAAAGGATATAATTTAGTTTCTGACTCTATGGTCTTAACTCAAAAAGGCCAAAAATGTCAGATAGACCTTTGTAATTCTAAGATAGCGACATGTAGACATGCTATAAAAACAAAACAGATAAGCGGAAGCAAAAGAAGAAGAAGGGTACACGATAGAAGAAGGATCTAGCAGTCGCGATCCAGCCATTTGTAGAGGGCAACACTCCTTCTCTCGTGCAGGCTAGGGTTTGTACCCGCGACAGAAAGACATACAGATTGACGGGTAAACAGACAAGCAGACAAAGATACACACACAGGGGAGGACTAGCTGACATGCAGGACTACTTGTTTGGATGACAGTCAGACACACTATATTTAATTTTTCGTATGCCGCGCGCCAGTTAAGTGGGAGAGCATCAGGGCCGTGCATTTTCTAGAATAAAACATTAGTGTCTCACTGCGCAGTGGGATCAGGCGCTGGTCAGTTTTGGGGCGTGTGAAGTTATTGAGATCATCTTAAAGCTTGTTGATTTGTCTTCCTTTCATTAAAAAAGAACATCTTTCGTAAATAGAAGTCAGGATATTTTCGATCGAAGAAAGTGGGCGTCGCCTCGTTTCAGAGGTCAAATCAGAGAGGAATTAATGACGGCCAAAGTTTGGTGAATTCCATAGCCTGAGAATACCTGGAAGTTGAAAATTCAACATTTTTCTGTAAAATCCTCCCAAAATGTATTCTTAAATGAACATAAAAGGTGTTGACACCCCCCCCCCCCCCCCCAATCCCTTTCCGAAAAAAAAGTTTAAAATTACCAAACCTGCAGAATAATTCCTGTTTCTTGAATGTCAATATTTTGACGATTGCCAGATTTCACCACGATACCTCACAATTAATATGAAAGCCGTGCACTATCAGAGCCGCGCACTTTTTAATGGTTTACTGAATATTGTTAATAAGTTACTTTTGCAACATGTTGTACCTAAGGTTAAAAATGTGCTAGATTTTTTTCCAAACTGTCTTTTTACACCCTGTGTTACAAAATGTGGCATATCTTTAAAGATTCTCAAGATATTTGACAAAGTTTTTAACCAGCGTGTTCAGCATTAAATGTGAGGCATGCTGACAAAATGAGTTATTTCTCCCAATCCACAAATGGAGATATTAGCTAAAAATCAACCCCAGGGTCAAAATAATAGATTTTATATTGATGCAATATTCTTCAAGCATAGCATGCCTTTTGTTATTTCAAACTTATAAATTGTAAAAACTTAACCTATAAGCGTGATGTATGTATTTCCACGGGACTCAAATCCGAGAAACAACTCATTTTGTCAGCACACTTCACAAATTATTGGCTACAAGAATACGCCTCTTTATATCAAAATTTCCAACACCTGGTACCTTTCTCCAGGCACACACATACATCATCTAACAATAAAACAGGTTTTCAAAACTGGGACATTTTTACATCTTGTATTGACATTGCTTCCTTAAAAAATTATAGTGAGTGGTTGCAGGGCTACAGTAGTAGGTCCTACTTCTTTACTTTCCCTTTGTTGTTTCTGTTTGTCTGTCTGTCTTAAGTTTTCCCAGCGCTAATTGACCATAATTGTGTCGATGTGCTTCTCTTTACTCAAACTCACAAACAAAAGAATTCATTTCATGTAAGAGCAGCCGGAGACTACCCTTATCGTTTCTAGGTTTTGCTCTTATCCGAGAAGACTGTCTGTCTGTCTGTCTGTCTGTCTGTCTGTCTGTCTGTCTGTCTGTCTGTCTGTCTGTCTGTCTGTCTGTCTGTCTGTCTGTCTGTCTGTCACCATTATTATGATTATTATTATTATTATTATTATTATTATTATTATTATTATTATTATTATTATTATTATTATTATTATTATTATCATTATTATTTTTATCATTCATCCCCATTCTCCTCTCCCCCAGTGTCTGTGTTGAGCGTGGCGAGGTCTCAGTACTATGGCAGCCAGGGCAGTCCCAGCACTTACTCCTCCCAGACCTACCAGCGTTACTACCAGCAGCAACAGCGCTACGCCGCCTATCAGAAGAGGCTGGCCGCCTACAACGCGCAGAGAGCCGCAGCCGCCTCCAGGCAGCGAACCCCAGCCGCTCAGACTCAGACTCAAACGCAGTATAGCCGCTACCCGCAACAGCGGCCGTCCGGGTCCCAACAGCAAGCAGCGTACCCGAAGTATAACACAGCGGCTGCTACTCCTGCCGCGGCCTCGTCGTACAGCAGACAGGCTCCGACTGCCGCAGCAGCCAGCGGACAACAACAGCAATACAGCCGCTATGCCACGCAGCAACAGCAGAAAGCCTACCCACAACAGCAACAGCAGAAGAGCTACAGCCCGCAGCAGTACCAACAGTACTACCAACAACAGCAACGACAGCAGCAGTACCCGTCCACTCAGCAGAAAGCTGCGTCGTCCACCTATCCTCAGAGGTCTACCAACTACTACCAGAACAGCGGCGGCTACCAGCCGTCTACCAGCTACCAGTACCCCAGCAGCAGCAGCAACAGTAGGTACTCCAGTGGTCAGCAGACCAACAGCAGGTACCAGCAGAACTACAACTACCCACAGACCAACGGCTACGGTGGGAGCAAGACCTACTCGCAGACAGCTGGCTCCAGAGGTGCAGCGGGCTCCAGGTATCCCCAGGCGAATTTCGCCCAACCTCCCCCGGCGACCACTACTCCAGGTAAAGTGATTTTGTTCCCAGTTTAATTTAGGTTTGTTTTTTCATTGGGTTTTTTTTTTTTTTTCTTTTTTTTTTTGTTTGCTTTGTTTGTTGTTGTTGTTTGTTTTGGTTTTTATAATCATATTTAGAGAAATAAGCACCAATAAATAAATAAATAAAATCAGGCTAAAAAGTGCTTTACAACCTGCTGAATTATTATCGCTTGAAGAAAAGTCGACATCTTAGATTTCCAAAGTTCTGTCTGCTTAGTACCTTGTTTTGAGAAATTCGACGTTCAAAAAATTTTGAGTTTCACATGTCAAAATTTTTCAAATGCAATTCTTTGAATTTCTTAATAACGACTAATTAAAATATTTCGATTTTGGTAGAGTAGATAGAACATAATCTATTGGTTTCTGACCTAAAGATAATAGCAACTGAAAACAGCCAAAAATGTCTGATGGAACTTTGCAATTCTAAGGTAGCAAAATGTGAAGAGTATTTTGTGTGGGGTTTTCCCGTTAGTAGGCTATGTGTTGTCTACTTTCTTCAGATTTTACCTCATTAGTTATTTGTTAAAATTTTGAAAGACTTTGGAAGTTCTTTAGTTGCTTTTTTTTTAACCCTTGACGTGAAAACGATTATACTTTGTATCTGCTCTTAAGAAAATAAATTCGCTCTCTCTCTCTCTCTCTCTCTCTCTCTCTCTCTCTCTCTCTCTCTCTCTCTCTCTCTCTCTCTCTCTCTCTCCCACTGCCTCACTGAACTTTTTATTGATTATCTTTATACTTTGTTCTTTTGCTTTCTTTGAATATTTCACCAACAATCATTTTCTTGAGACAGTTTCAAAGGATGAACGTCTTTTTCACGTACTTTTTTTTTTCCAAAGCCTTCTTTTCCAGTACTGAGCTCTCGAGTTATACTTTTTTTTACCTCTAATGTGTGTGTGTTTCTGAATTCTTTGTTCTTTACAAAATCCCCACTGTTAGATAGAGCGTTCTTCTGTAATATCCCATATAAGATTAGACGTTTTCTGTGTGTAGTTTAGTTTCTCCATTCGTGCCTGTTTTCTATAAGTTTTGTCGATCACAGTTTGTCTTCAAATTGCTTCTTATCGTTGTTTGAATGATAGTGCCAGTATGCAAGTCTTATTTTTATAATATAATATTATTGTATACACCTGCACAACCCTGTGACTTCACAGAGAAGAGAAAGAATTTAAGTCAGCGTGTCTGATAATGAGCAAAGCGTTAGTGCAACGCAAATTGCTTATCTTTTTTTTTCTCCAGAATGGTTGTTGTTTTTTGTTTTGAAAATTTGTCGCATTATCAATTTCTTATAATGTTTTTAGCATCCTCTCTGATATCTGCCCC